TTTGTCAGTCAACCTGTTCTGCTCCCCACTCTGTCTCTGGTGAATCCATTCACCCACCAAACCTCTGACCTGTACCCCAGTTCTGTAAGCATAAGTAAATATTTTTTAAAGTATATTTGAATCCCTACATACACAAGATGAGTGGGGAGACCAGCAATGTACCCAGAAGGAATAGTAAGAAAACATAAGATTATGATGGGTCAGAGCTGGTGCCAAACTTCTGCTTGGTTATCTCCAGTGGAAGCCATGTACTCAGAATATGAGCTCTGGAGGACTTTAAAATGTAAAAGACCTTTGAGTCAGTTCCATGGCCAGAAGCAGCCATTCAGCTGTGTCTTAACTTAATCTCTGGGGCTCAGATAATGCAGAGCTTCAAGCCCTTGTGATAAACACCTAAATGGATAAAATAATATAGAAGGCTTAGAAGCACACTGATTTTTTTAAGAAGTAAAATAACTAGTAATACCCAATAACTAGTTAGTAGTAGAAGTTAGAGGAATGCATGGACCATTTTCATAACAGGATAACTGTTTGGAAGCTAGCATCATTCATTCAGGAAACACGTGCTCCAAGCATTTGAGCTGGATAGTGTGGCATTTGAATTGCTCGTTCTCTTTCAAGCATTTAAATTTAGGCATCTTGAGAACATCTAATCTATTAGTGATATATCTATTCAAATAGTCAAAGAGTTCTCAGTGTTTACTTTCACTTTTAAAAGAGTCATGGGATAGATTTTTCCAATGACATAAATTTTTAAATAAAATGCCACCTTTATCTCTTTCTGCAAGGCTCCACAATTTCCTCTTTTGGGATTTTTAGAATATCACTTCATCCTGAAACCAGAACTAACATGAAGATTCACCTTTGAACACATTCAATGGAAGATTACAATGGGTCAGAACCAGCACCAAACTTCTGCTTTATTATTTTCAATGGAGACCAGTACACTCAGAATGTGTACTCTGGGGGATTTTAAAATGTAAAAGATCTGCAAGTCTGATTCATGGCCAAAAGCAATCATTCAGCAGTGTCTGAATTTATCCTCTTAGGACTCACAGATAATCCAGAGCTTCAAGCCCTTCTCTTTGGTGTATTCCTGATCATCTATTTATCTAGTGTCCTGGGTAATATTGGTTTGATTGTGTTAATTCATATCAGTCCTCAACTTCAAATACCCATGTATTTTTTTCTTGGTCATCTGGCTTTTGTTGATTTTTCTTTTACCTCATCTGTCACGCCAAACACTTTGGCAAATTTTCTGTGTGAGGTTAAAAGCATAGCGTTTCATGCCTGTGCTGTTCAGGTGTGCTGCTTCATTACTTTTGTCGTGTGTGAGATGTATCTGCTCTCAATCATGGCATACGATCGGTACATTGCCATCTGCAACCCTTTGCTCTATGTCATTCTCATGCCCAGGAAACTCTGTAACCAAATAATCGCCAGCACATACATCTATGGGTTGACTGTGGGGCTCGTCCAGACTGTGACCACATTCCAGTTGTCTTTTTGTGGTTCCAATGTCATCAACCACTTCTACTGTGATGAAGTTCCCTTGATTGGGCTGTCCTGTTCTGACACGCATGCCAAAGAGCTGATGCTGCTCATCATTGCTGGACTGAACATCCTTTGTTCTCTACTGATTGTGACAATTTCATATGTGTTCATCCTCTTTGCCATCCTGAAAATTCATTCCACTGAAGGAAGACGCAAAGCCTTTTCTACCTGTGCTTCCCACCTGACCTCCATCACAATATTTTATGGAACAATCATTTTTATGTATCTACTGCCCAAGTCTAGCCAATCTTTAACCAGAGATAAGTTTGCTTCAGTGTTTTATGTGATAGTGATTCCCATGTTAAACCCATTGATCTATAGCTTGAGGAATCAGGAGGTAAAAAATGCACTGAAAAAAATTATAGAAAAATTGGCCTTGGCTATTAAATAACTGAAAAATATTACACAAAGTGGTTGTTGAGCACTGTTTGTAGAGCAGTGTCTTAGCTAGAGTCTTGAAGTAGGTAAATGATAGAGTCAAACACTGTTTCATTCTCAGTGACTTCCATAGGAAAGGTAAAGTATACGTTTTCAGTTTCTGAGTTATTAAGAGACAATGAGAGAAAGAGCTTGATCCCATATGGGCATGAGATATTCATTAAAAAAAAAAATGGTGGGGTCCCCCCGGTGGTGCAGGGGATAAAACATGGCACTAAGAAGCTAAAGCCACTTCAGTGTGAGTTCGATCCCTGCCTGCCCCGGAGTTGACCCACACGGTGCAGCAGACCTCTCCTGACTGACCCGCTGATCCCCTCAGCAGTGTACTTGGTTGATCTACCTGTTCTGCTCCCCACTCTGTCACTGGTGAATCCTCTCACTGCCCCTGCACCTCTGGCCTGTACCCCAGTTCTGTATGTACAAACAAATAAATCTTTTTTTAAAAATAGCAAATGGCAACTTTATCTGAATTGTGTGTCCTGTTGAGAAATATGAGTCCTACTGAAATAAATCAGCACCTGCTATTTTGAATTTCAGGTTTGATGTACTGATAAACAGAAAAGTATATCCAAGTTGAATAGACAGTAGATAATTTCCCAAACACTGCGCTTTCTGCTTTCAGCTCAACAGCTGACACCAGCTGTTGGCACTGAACATCCAATGATGCCAGTGATATGTCAGCTTAGTTCACTGGAACCACATCTCAGCGCTAGAACTTCTGTCTGTTCCTACTAGGCGATTATTCCTCCCACACACAGTTTGCTCAGCAATTTTATCTTCTGCAAGTAATAGCTGTTGTCACTGTAAATTTATTTCCTGTTTTTGTATCTTGGTTTCTTCCATGGCAAACTGGCAGTAATAATAATAGCTCCCTTCTCTTGAACTGACTGTATAGATTAAATAAGATCATAAATATACAAGGCATTGCATAGCTCCTAGTACATAGCTAGCACTTAAAGATTATGACTATTAAACTTAATTATTAACATTGTTAATGCATCAGTGATTCTTTTATTTAGTTTCAAGTGATAAGGTAATAGCTTTTTTTAGAAATAACAACATAATAGGCTTCATTTGTAAATTAATAAAATGAAAATATAAATGATAAGGAGCTATTTTAATGTGATCCTTAAAGCAATTTAATCTTTTTTAATTTTCCTTGTGTGTTTATGAACATTTTTTTAAAGATTTTTTATTTATTTATGCATGCAGAACTGGGGTACAGGCCAGCGGTGCAGGGGTGGCGAGAGGCTTCACCAGAGACAGAGTGGGGAGCAGAACAGGCAGATCGAGGAAGTACACTGCTGAGGGGAGCAGCGGGCGTGTCAGGAGAGGTCTGCCACACCATGTGGTCTCCTCCAGGGCAGGCGGGAATCGAACTCATGTGGAAGTGGCTTTAGCTTCTCAGTGCTGTGCTTTAACCCGCTGCGCCACCAGGGAGGGCCCGTGTTTATGAACATTTTAAACTGAATGTTATTTAGGTTTCTCACTTTTGAATATTAAAATAATTCATTTTTCTTAAAAACAGAATTAAGCCACTTTGGTTACATTTGGGAAAGATTAGGTTAACAAACTGAATCTATTTAGTTCCAAAACTTTCAAAGTAAAAGTAGAATGTTTATTAAATGCTTTTCTCTGTGTCAGATGCTGGGTGAAATGACGAAGTAGATGGACTAAGTTAATTTTAGTAAAACCCTACTGGGAATTTTTAAAGAATGAAGAATTCAGAGCAGTTTTATAATTCTCTAACACTCACATAGCTAATATCCCAGACACAAGCAAGGTTTGAGTTCAACTGTACAACTAAATTTTTTTTTTAAGATTTATTTATTTGTGCATACAGAACTGGGGTACAGGCCAGCGGTGCAGGGGTGGCGAGATGCTTCACCAGAGACAGAGTGGAGCGCAGAACAGGCAGATCGACGAAGTACACTGCTGAGGGGAGCAGCGGGCGGGTCAGGAGAGGTCTACCACGCCATGTGGTCACCTCCGGGGCAGGCGGGAATCGAACTCATGCGGAAGCGGCTTTAGATTCTCAGTGCTGTGCTTTAACCCGCTGTGCCACCAGGGAGGGCCACAACTAAATTTTTTAATGACCATCTTATATTTCTAGCTAGAGCCATACATTGGGATAAAAAAAAAAAGAAGAAAGAAAGAAAGAAACTGAATACTGAGTCACAAATATATCATTCAGCAATTTCATTTAACTTAAACTTTTTATAAGTTAAAAAAATACTATATATATATATTTGTGAACCTATAAGCACATGGGAATAAGATCTAAGGGATTTTCCTTGCTGACCTACGTCACCAGATGCAGATTTCTTTGTACTCCCGGCTCTGGAACTGAGCATAAAAAATTCAGATAGACATGAATTTGCAGTAAGCTTTTCATATTATTAGACATAGTTGTGTGACCTTAGGCAATTTATAAATAATTGATCTCCAGAGGTGAAATCTCATACATCTCTTTTGCTTGATTTACTGAGTTACATAAATAAGTAGCCACAGATAGTAGAACTATAACCTGACTTTCTTGAATTTACATATTGTTCCTATTTCTTTATTAATATTAATTTTTTAGTCCTCACAAGAAACTATTGTATTGAATTGAGTCCTATTACTTGCCAGAATCTAAGAGTTCCACAGTTGGTGTTCTTTTCCAAGGTTGCAAAGCTAAGAAAGAAAGTAAATGGCATTCAGACGCAGGTAGCCAGGTTAGTTCTGGTTTCTAAGACAAGCATGCTGTGCCTTGGCTCAAGACACACTTGAGTGTTTTCATTTCACTTGTACATGTAAATATTCTGTAAGGTCTGCATGGCTTCAACAGAACCCTCTAAATCATATTGACTTTCCAGGACTGACCTGGGTCCTTGTAGGAAATGTTCAGGTTGCTGAAGTAACAGTCACATTTTCAGTTAACTGGGAAAAAATTACAAACATAAGGTAGCCAACAAGAAAAACTCCATTTCTTTCCCTCCTTGTAGTCATTAATTCAAATATTGTTATTATTTTCTCAATTTTAAAATCCTTAAGGTTTCATAACCTTTTTCTAAGACTTTTTTGGAGGCATCTTTGACCTCTTTGTTCCTGAGACTATAGATCAGGGGGTTCAGCATGGGGATGATCACCGTGTAAAACACGGATGCCATCTTGTCTGTGTCCAAGGAGTGGTTGGATTTGGGCTGCAGGTACATAAAGATCAGTGTGCCATAGAAGATGGTAACAGCCACCATGTGGGAGCCACAGGTAGAAATGGCCTTGCGACGCCCCTGGTTTGAACGGATCCTTAGGATGGCGGCAACGATAAAGATGTAGGAGGTAAGGACGATGGAAGAGGAACAGATCATATCAAAGCCAGCGAAGGCAAAGATCAGAATTTCCTTTATGTGTGTGTCAGAGCAAGAGAGAGCCAGTAGAGGAAGGTCATCACAATAGAAATGGTTGATAACATTGGGACCACAGTAAGTTAGACGGAAGGTGACGATGGTATGGAACAGGGCCACCAGAAAGCTGTAGATATACGGGACTGCCACCAAATGAAAGCAGATTCTTTGTGACATCAGCGTTGTGTAGTGCAGAGGTTTACAAATGGCGGCATAGCGATCATAGGCCATGGACGCTAGAAGGAAGCACTCGGTGATCATGAAGGTGAGGAAACAGCCCAGCTGAGTTGCACATGCAAGGAAAGAGATGGTGTTTTGTTCCACCACAAAGTTCATCATCATCTTCGGGGTGATAACAGAGGAGTAACAAAGGTCAACAAAAGCCAAGTGGCTAAGGAAATAGTACATGGGTGTGTGGAGTCGAGTATCAATCCTGATTAAGGTGATCAGGCCAAGGTTGCCCAGCACTGTGACCAGATAGATGACTAAAAACATCACGAAGCATGGGGTCTGCAGCTCGGGGCGTTCTGTAATTCCCTTGAGAATGAATTCAGTGACAGGAGTGATATTAGCATCAGCCATTTACTCTGGTGGATTTTATGGATTTTGTGGGAAGTAGAAGAATAAAAAGAATGGTGCTCATGATCCTGGATACTGTAGGAGGAAGGAGACCTCTGGCCTCTCCGTGTCTTCAATTATGTTACTGTGTGGGCAAAAGCTTTTTACTGAAATACCTTTATTTTGCCCAGGCTGGATATCTTTAGTCTCAAAATAAATAGTCTTCTTAAACATGATTTTGCTTTGTCATATTTGAAACTATGGGAGGATGCTGGTTAAAGGTTATAACACCTGAGGGTGGGGGGGGAAGGAAATTGAGTCAATAAGCATTACTATTTCAGTGTTATAACTCCCACGATCATTTCCATACATCTCTAATTAGAACAGAACCAAAATATGTACTTCATAAATTAAACTTTATTTGTACTCCCATTTTGCATGTTGTGCATGTTTGCATAACTTTAAAATATAGCAAAATAATCTCCTATCGATGTTCTCATTTTCATATATTCCCCTCCCTCACTCATACAGATTAAGTGCTTAATGTTATGGACTCTGAAAGAATATCAATCTGAAATACAGAAGCCATACAATTTTATTTCATAGAAATTAAAAAGAAGCGATTTTTTTTCAATTCTGAATTTACCACATCTTGAGGGTTGTTCTTAAAAGAGTTAGCATCAATTAAATTGTTCATAAATAGCATTATTTTATACTAGATGGAGATAAATGTCCTTCCCCATAAATTTGCATCAACAGGGCTCTCCCTGGTGGCACAGTAGGTTAAAGCACAGCACTAAGAAGGTAAACCCACCTCAGCATGAGTTCGATCCCCGTCCCAGAGGTGACCCACATGGTGCAGCAGACCTCTCCTGACCCACCCCCTACTCCCCTCAGCAGCATACTTTGTCAGTCGGCCTGTTCTGCTTCCCACTCTGTCTCTGGTGAATCCTCTTATCGCCCCTGCACCTCTGGCCTGTACCCCAGTTCTGTATGTATAAATAAATAAATCTTTTTTAAAAAGTTCAAACTACTGGCCCTCCCTTGTGGCACAGCGGGTTAAAACAGAGCACTAAGAAGCTAAAGCCACTTCCGCATGAGTTCGATCCCCACCTGCCCCGGAGGTGACCACATGGCATGACAGACCTCTCCTGACCCACCCGCTGCTCCCCTCAGCAGTTTACTTCGTTGATCTGCCCATTCTGCTCCCTGTTCTGTCTCTGGTGAATCCTCTCACCCTCCACATCTCTGGCCTGTACCCCAGTTCTATATGAATAAATAAATAAATCTTTAAAAAAATTCAAAGTACTTACACTAATAGGTTTAACTGTTATCCATATATTTTATGAAAATAATCCATTGTCAACAAAGTTTTATGGGAACTAGGTAGATAGACAGGTGTGTGGGTAGGTGAGTGAATGTATGCATGGATGGATGCATGGTGGATGGACAAATGATATATAATTGAGAGTTTTTGATGTGTGCTTCAGAATAATAACAATTATTTGTACCATACCATCCTCCTGACTCTCCTCCATTATCCAGAGAGGAACAGTTCTTTTTGTGGGTACCACTACAGAAGGAGAGTCATCGGTAGATTATCTGCATAACACTTATGAAGTCACTTAAGCAATGAGTGAGTGTGTGGAAAAGAGAGACAGACAGACAGAGACATAGAGGAAAAGGAGAGACAAAGAGGTGGGGAGTGAGAGAGTGCTTGAGCACTGGATGAAACAGTATTGTAAGAATGAACATATTCTTTAGAAATTAGTAAGAAGGAAAGAGTACATAAAAAATGTTAGGCTGTTAGAGCTTGTAGACTGATTTCATCTAATGTCAAAACTCACCAAAGAGACAGGTCTCTCAATGGAAAACAAAGTCTTCAGTGGCAGATTGGCAATACTCTACAGATAGACTCCACAGGACTCACCTGCTTAGCCCGGAGCTTCTCACCTGCCTCCCGTTCTAAGTGGTTTATTTACTAATAAACCACCCAAAGTGGGTGTTTGAGTGATTTATTAGTTCCTGAATCCTCTTGGGTCTAAACTGAAATCTCCAGAGATGTATGAAAACCTAATATTCTTTGCTCTCAAAGAAAGATGATCTGGACAAATTATACTGGGAATTTAAAAAGTTTTAATTGCCTGTATTCCTGAAGGGACTATGTTTCAAGTATTAGACTTTTCATGTAGGCAAAGATAGGTTATAACATTGAAAGTATAAAAATGCCATAAATCTTAGTATATTTGAGTAAGAACTTATGTTTTAGGAAAGGATAAAGATATGCACTGAAATCCTAATTAATTTATGGGAACTTGGGCAATGTTTCTCTATTTTTATTTGTACATACAGAACTGGGGTACAGACCAGAGGTGCAGGGATGGTAAGAGGATTCACCAGACTGAGTGGGGAGCAGAATATTTCTTTATTTTCCATAAGAATACCTACCTTGTGATATACACTCCAGACAGAGTTTCACGTACACACTACAGTAATGTTGTCTGTAGACCAAAGGTTGTACAACTTTAGATAACTATCCATTGCTCAGTTCTCACTCCCTGACAACTACTATTCTACGCCATCTCTATGAGTCAGGCTGTTTTAAATATTTCATGTGAGTGGAATCATGGGGTGTTTATCCTTCTGTGACTGGCTTCATAGTACCCCACAGGTTTGTCTGTGCTGTCATATATGGCAAAATTCCCTTCTCCTTTAAGGCTGAATGAAATTCCATTGTAGTCATGTATTCTACTACCTCTCACATGTCCTACCGCAGTTGTCACTCTGTCCATGGACAGTCAGGCTGTTTTTACATTGTGGCCACTTGCAAACAATGTTGTAATGAACTCGGGACTGCAGCTGTCTCTTCTATTTAGGTCCTGACTTCAGTTCTTGTGTGAATGTGTGGGTGTGTGTATCCAGAAGTGCAAGTGATGAGTCATATGATAATACTATTTTAACTTTTCTTAATTGTAAGACACTCTTGTATTATTTTCTGTAGTGGTTGTACCATTTTATATTCCCATCAATTGCATACAATGGTTCCAACACCTTATCACCCTCACCAACACTACATTTTTTATAATCACCAGCCAAAGTGATGTGAAGTGATGATGTCTCATGGTTTGATTGGCATGTCTCTGATGACCAGAGATGCTGGCCATGTTTTCTTGTACATCTGACCAGTTAAAAGTCCTTAACCCATTTGAAAATTGGGTTATTTGGGCTTTATTTTTTGCTACTGAGTTAGTTGTAAGAGTCTCATCTATATCTTAGATATTAAATCCTTACCAGATACATGGTTTTCAAGATGTTTCTCTCTTTCAGTGGACTATCTTCTACTCTTGATTGCTTCCTTTGCTGTGCAGAAGCTTTTTAGTTCAACATGCCCTACATGTCTAATTTTGCTTTTGTTGCTTATGCCTCTGGTGTCATAACCAAAAAATAACTGTCAAGTTCAATATCATGAAGATTTTCCTCTGTGCTTTACAAAGGGATTTTACCACTCCAGATCTGTGTGGTTTAAGATTTCAAGTTCACTCTTTTGTAGGTCTCCCAGCACAATCTGTTGAAAAGAAGATCCTTCCCCCATTGTTTTTCTGGAAACCTGTCAAGATAGTTTTTATATTTGTTTCTTGATGCTCTATTATGTTCTGTTAGTGAATATTTTTTCCATTAGCATATATTCTAAATGATGTTTTGCTAAAACCTGAACTCTATTGGGTTTCTCTATACTTTTTCATCATCATCTACTTCTACATGGAAGAAGTAATCATGTTTATATGCTCCTTTCCATAACTATAAATTTTAGATCTCTCACCCAATAGACTGTAAGCTCCAGAGTTGCAAGAACCATGCCTGTTTTGCTCATTGCTTCACTGTTGAGTCCCTGACTACTTATAACCATTAATTCACCCTTCTCCATTCTGCTCTACGCTAAGTACTTTCCTACCTATTGCACATCCCATGCATGCTTGATAACTCAGTCCAGTGGATACAACCAATAAGGTGCTGTTATAGGAGAGGGAGCATGGACACTATGTCTCTGATCCAGCACTTTCTCTGCTTTGACAACAGGTCACTGGCAGTAGATGCACCCTCTCTCCCACTGCCTCCAGGAGCCTTTCATCCACAATCCTGCTCTTCCAGATCCCCTGCTCCTCCTTTCTGCCCCTGGAATGATGACAGAATTGCATTATTGCTAGGTATTAGGTGTCTCACTATCCCTGGCTTGCTCATGTCTATTTACTTAAATTATATGTGTTCATTGAAGGGTTTCTGATCAGTAACTCTCTGGCTTCATTGCAGTCCATCCCATTTATTTTCAAGATAATAAAATACCTTGGGAATTTCTTAGAAAGAATGATCACTTCTGTGTTTTTCTATGAAAGTATATTCTAAGACCTTTGGAAAGAAGAAACACATAAGCACTGACTTAAAGAATGAGTGAGACTGTTTATACTAGAAATGAAGAAATTCTGTTAGTTGCATCAATCTAACTACTAAAACTTACCTAGTATCTACTAAACCTACCTACCAAAAATATTATATTTTATTCATAAGTTCAAAATTGCATATCTGAAGGGAAAGTTGCACATGGAGCTAAAAAAGGATAAAACCTCTCCTGACAGCTGTCAGATGAGATCTAGTCTTGCACCAAAAGCTAAACTGTGCATAGAATATAAGCAATTTCACAGACTACTACTATGACTAGCATTTACATAGCAATAAATTTTTCCAATTGTATTATTTGCTGTTGCTATTGTTCTACCTATAATCATCAATTATCAATTTGTAGTTCCCAAGGTTGTTTTATATCCATTACATAGCTGCACTTCAAGAGAACCCTGAGCTTTAAGGCAGCAATTCCATTTTTTAATTGAGGTTCAGAGTTTATGACATTCCCAAGAGCACATGGGAAGATAATGCAGAGACCAAGCATAAGTCTTTATCTGGCCCCATGGACTCTTCTCTCCCCACCACACTATCTTGTCTCCCAAAGGAAAGTACACCAATGAGGAGGA